GAAGCGGGTGAGTGAGTGTGTGTGTGGGGGGGGCGTTCCGGGGGGGGGCGAAGAAGGAACCAGCCCTTCCTTCGCGGAGGAACCCAGGCGTCCGGGAGCCCCGCCCACTTCTCCCAAGCCCCGCCCATTCGGGGGGGAACCCAGGCGTCCGAGTCCTGCGCTTCCCTCCCCCACTTTCCCCTTCCTGCTTTGGTGCCTCTCTTTCCAACTAACCGCCTTCAGCTGGGTTATATATGGCTGAGGGAAAGCCCCCCCGGGTGTGACCCCAAATTTTGGGAACTCTTTTAGACGTCCAGAAGGCTTGGGGATGCCTTTGGGACAGTAAAAAAATCATAGTAACAATAAGTGGGTAGGATATCTATGACATGTCACCTTTTTCTCTGCAACCTCTACTTTCACTGTTCATTAGTTTTCAATATCGCCTTTTATTGATGTTAGCCTTTTAATAATGTTAGCCACCGTTATATACCCATTGTTTTCAACTTTAAATACAGTATTGTCTTTTTGTCGTCGTAAGCCGCTGTTCATTAGTTTTCAATATCGCCTTTTACTGATGTTAGCCTTTTAATGATGTTAGCCACCATTATATACCCGTTGTTTTCAACTTTAAATACAGTGTTGTCTTTTCGTCGTCGTAAGCCACCTTAGGCCCTTTTTGAGGAGAAAGGCAGGGTAAAAAAAATGTTTTAAATAAATATACTTGAACCCACATGGAAGTCCAAACCCGTTTACGAGTCATCTGGCCCTTTCTCCCTTAGATTACTCATGCACATGTGGAAACCCACCCATAAACTCAAACATAGGTTGCAGGAAAAAATACGACATGTCATAGAAATCTTTCCCCCCCCCTGAACCTGGGATGCTGCCGCTCCAAAACATATTTAAGGTCAGTTACCGGAGTGGATTACATGAGACCGTTGCCTTAACGCAGGGAGAGTAATTAATTTGTGTTACTGACCTTACTATTGTCAGGTGAAGTTAGCCAAAGCTTTGAAAGTTGACGGCCACAATATAGCATTTTTATTTTGCCCCACCCCTCCAAGGCCATATTGTGCATGTAAATGTCGCTTGAATATTGGATACCATGCATTTAAAGAATGGGACTGTCTGCGAAAGCTTATCTTGCATATTTGTGTCTATAATTCAGCATTTAGGTGTAGATACAGCATATTTAGTGCTGTATATTCTCTGAAGTAAGTGCTTTCCATATTTTTGATCAGTAGCTAACTATTTTCTTTTTTTTTAAATGGTGTCTAGGAAGAAGTATACTTTCAAGATAGCATTTCAGTCACCTTTTCTGTGCGCTATGTGATGCTGGATTTCCACAGTAAGTAGTTATTCCATGGTGCAGTACTATATTGTGAACTCTCTACTTGATGTTAAAATGACAAAGGACAGGGAGTTGATTCTTCATTCCCAGCTCTGGAGCCCTGTGTCCTTTATCTCGTTTCATATACATCGGTGCCTTGCAAGACGATTGCCTCACAGGACGATTAATCCGCAAGACGATTAGTTTTTGCAATTGCTGTTTTGCTTCGCAAGACGATGGTTTCCTACGAACGATTTTCGCAAGACAGCAATTTTTCAATTGGAACGCATTAAATAGATTTCAGTGCATTCCAGTGGGGAACCGCATTTCGCAAGACGATGTTTTTGCAAGACAGCATTTTTCACGGAACAAATTAACATCGTCTTGTGAGGCACCACTGTATTCCACAGGGATGGAAAAGCATGGCCATCCAGTTATTGGACTGTAACTCTCAGATCCCTCACATTGACTACTGGTTTTAGCTGATGGGAGTTGCTACTCCCGAGACAGACCCTTTGTGGTTATTGGAATTGATGCAGCATTGGCTATCAGACTGATTGTTGTTACAAGCCTGTGATATCGACTTTTTCAGAATCGTGCCACTGGTCTATCAAGCTCAGCATGGTGCCTTTTCCATCAGCTGAGAAAAGGAGTGATTTTTTCCCCCTAAGCCCTACAGTACAAAATGCACTAGCTGAATAGTTCAGTGGTTTAGGCCTCTAGATGTGGAGCCAGCATTTTAGAGTTTGATTTCCCCCCCATTGTGCCTCCTGTGAGTAGAGCCAGCCCGGGTGGCCTTGGGCAAGCTGCACAATCCCAGGTCACCCCCCAGAAGAAGGGAATGGTAAGCCCCTTCTGAATACTCTCTACCTACAAAACCTCAAAGAGGGTCACCAGAAGTCAGAATTGCCTTGGCACCATGTGAGGATTCCTAATTCTGTACATCCAGGAATCCAACCAACACCCTGTCAATGAAACGTATGTCACCAAGGCTTAGGCAGTTTCCCTCACACAAGAGTAAATTGGCAATAGGAGTTTGGCTTTTATACCTTTGTGCGTCTACCTTCTGTTAAGGTATAAGGAATAATACTTATTTGTTTTTCTTTAAGTGCCTCTCCTTGCTTTCCTGCTAGTGAGTTTAAAGTGATAGTCAGATTTCGCCTCCTAATCTCCATTCTGTCTGTGGTCACATCCTCGTGCCTTAGACCAGGCAGAGAAGGAACAGCGGGGCTCTTTCAGGGCCTGAATCCCACTCTGGCATCATAACCAGGAGGACACAGCGCTTCTGTAACACCGTTTTCCTGATGCAGTTGATATTTCCTGCTCTGGTCGGTGGTTTCATGTAGGACGCTTGGACTTAATGACCCCCTTGCTTCTCTGTTGCCATCCACTGTGAGTTTAGAAGCTCGAGCTGCTCCTTCCAATTAGAGAGCCTCACTTTTGGAAATTAAACCAGCTGCTTCTTTCAGAGCCCTATCCATGCATCTGAACAACACTATGCTGGGCTTTGTTTTCTGCTCACACTCAAGGGTATTAGAACTTGCTGTACCCGCGGTTTATACCTGGTAGAAACGAAGGAGATGACAGGCAGATATGAAAAGGAGAATTGGTGCAAAAATCCTGAATTTTGGCATTTCTCTTTTGCCTTTAACCTTTGGAGGTCTCCTCTTTCCATTTTCACCAAAACTGCTCAGGTCCATGCTGCCTGGATGGTTACCTCTCCCTCTCTGAGGCCGTTTGGGTGTTAAAATCATCAGGGGAAGCCATTTCTCTCCATCCTACCACCTTCATAGGTGCGTTTGGTGATGCCACAAGAGGGCCTTCTCTGTGGCTGTTCCTAGACTATGGAACTCCCTCCCACTGGAGGCCAGCCTGGCCCCATCTTGGCTGTCCTCCTGCAAGCAATCCAAGAGCTTTCTCTTCAGGCTAGCTTTTTCTCAGGAGCTGGTTGCCCAAGATGGCATTTCTAAAAACAGAGCTGCTGGGTTTTTTGTTTGTTTGTTTTTGAACTTTCTTAATTGTGATTGTTTTAATATTGTAAGCCACTTTGGGTCCTCTTCAGGGGAAAAGGTGGGATATAACTATTTTAAACAGACAAATAGGAATGGTGAGAAATGGGGTCTGGAGTATCTCGACAGTAAAAGATCCTTCATGCTTGTGATATAGCTTTCAAGGTTGGCACAAAGATCAGTGAGCAACTCCTGCCGGTCATTGAGATGCTGGAAGATGATTCACACATTTCAAGGGATTGATGACTGTGTTCCATGACTTATCTCTTCTTATAGCTAGCAGGAACTGACAGTGCCAAATAAGTACATGGAAACAGGGCAGATTTTAAAAAAACACTTTTAAAAAAATCACTTTGTCTTAAATCATGATTGAAATCCAGAAAATGATTTTTTAAAAATTTATGTTGAGAAAAAAAAATCGAGTTTTAAAAATGTGTTGTGATTTAAATCACAATTTAAATCGGTTTGATTTAAATCAAATCCACCCTGTGTGGAAATCACCTGGCCTCATTTGGCTGGTTGGTACTGATGGCAAGATGTTGCTGTTCTCACCCGAAAGTCCAGGATGGGACGTTCAGTTGATGCCAATGTATTCTGTGTTCCCATACCACCTTTTCTCTCTCTCTTGAGCTGCCCTGCTCTCTGCCGTGTCCTCACAACAATCCTGCGAGGCGGCTCAGGCTGAGAAAGAGTGTTACCGGTTTTGAGATCGGCCAGCCGGTTTCACCGATTGGTAGGGATTCGAACTCGCATCTCCCAAGCCTCCGACCATTAGACCGCCCTGGCGTTCGATGCAACGAAGGCAGAGTTGGAAAGCTGTGATCTTTTTGGATCAGAAGTGCAAAACATCCAGGTTGCATACAGGACCTCAAAAGAGTTTTGCGGGTCCACCAACCTGTCGGGCCTGAAATATTGTTGTTGTTTAGTTATTTGTTTATTAATTTTTTCATCTAGAAGCCTGGAATTTCCAAGAGCTTTGAGATTCTCCTGGAGCAAAAATAAAATAAAGCTTTCTCTGTAGTGTATTAAAAAAAAACAGAAGGGAACATCTGGCTGCTTTTAGGTTTTAAAAACGACATATGAAATTGGTGTGTTTTTGGAGAGGGTGCAGCTCACAACGAGTCCACAGAGGTGGCAGAATTGCTCCCCCCAACACGCAAACACACACACACACATGTTAGAGCCTCATCAACATCGTGTGAGCCTTTCAGACTATTCTTCCCATTTTCTGATCTCAGAGACCTTGGTCGGCAAGACCGCCTTCCGGGAGGCGAAAGGTCCCTGGGTCTGACGTGCCTCTTCGCTGAACTCTTCAGCACGTCGTCAAGCCCAAGGTCATCCTGACCCGGGAGAAACCAAAGGCAGCCTGCCTCTTTCTCAGCTCTTAAGTGGTTTATTATGATGAAGTTGTCATGCAGTTCCCTTGCCAAGACATGTGCGTTTGGGTTGCAGACTCCCCGTGCGGGAGGAGCCTTTAGCTCACTGCTGCTCCAGCCCACAGACGAGTTGTTGATTAAGGTTGGCTTTCACATCTGGGTAACCTTGCCGTTCCACTTTCCTTTCTTGGACACGTACCACATGTAGACTGTTGCGTTGTTTGTATGGTGTGGGGGGGGAATTAGTGGGTCCTCCTTCAGCATTATCCTTCTGATGCTAGAGAGGGCTGCGAATCCAGAGCCAGCCTCGTCGGAAAGTGGAGCGGTGCGGCCGCCCAAGGCAGCAGATTTTGGAACATGTCGCGAAAGGCTGTTGAATTCTCGTTGACTTGGGAGTTGTTGCGCTTTTGTTACTGAGGCTGGAGCGCGGAGTGTGCTCAGATTCTCTGCTCCCGTGCACAGGGACGTTGTCCATCTTCGGGTTTTGTGCCTGTGAAATTTAAGCGAATTAAGTGGGGCGGCTCCATTTGAGGTTTGGCGTCCAACAGCCGAGACCTCTGGTGCGACCGTTGTACGAAACGAACGTTTTGCTGAAGTGCTCCCTTCTTTTGAACGGCGTGCAAGTTCAAATTCGGGTTGGCTCCCGTTCCCACCTTTTAGATTCTACCCATCGCAGTTGTGGTTTCCACTGGAACTGCCCGCTGGAAAAGTGGTTTGAAGGCTAAAACCAGATGCTCTTTACCCAAGACTCGCTGTAATGCTATTGGAGGTACAGTTCTGTCTGTTTGAGCCCCCTGAGAGCTGCAAAAACAATCTACATTGGCTTGCATATACCATGTCGGTCTGTAGAATTCTCACTAAGGATTTGAGACGCCTGTGTTGGCACAGGGTTGGTCTAGATGACCTTTACCGTCTTTCTTGGTTCTGCCCCTTCTGTTTCTATGAGGCTGAGGACGGACTTCCTCAAAAGAGCCATCTTTATCTCTTCGTTTGTCCCCTGCTGCGAGAGTGCATGAAAAACCTTTTTGAGTCTCAGTGGTTGACTGTATATTCAGCACACCAAAAGTCTTAAGACCTGTTACCTCTGTTTTTTTGTTAAGATGGAGGTGGCTTTGTGAGCATTGTTGGACCACAGCTCTCACCACCCGATCACTGTTACGAGAATAACTCATACCCCTCACTGGGTTGACATCATCTTCCTAGTCTTCCAGCATGATGAAGAGGATTGTAATTCAAAAGCTTTCGCCAGTATTAGCACAGTTACTTTTAGATTATTTGTAGCTTGCATTGTTATCCAAATCCCACAAGCTATGGCTAAATTTAATTGTGCTTTACTTGAAAATAGCCCCTTCTAACCGTGGCTTATAAACCTGGTATGTTTCAGCAGATCATAGTTACAATTAACCATAGTTAAGAGTTTGGAAGATACGTTAAACTATGGTTAGCCTAAAACGGAGGTGAAAGCTTCTAATTCCTTCCTCGATCAGTGATTCAAATAAGAACAGCAGAGTTTCAGGGTTTTTGTGTCTTGTGTGAAGCCAGGATTACGTCTCATTTTGCTGAATATGTTACAGCAGAATTAAATGACAAAGTAAAGAGAGAAGATATAAAAGTGAACACGATGAACATTTAT